TCCGTCGAAGCCCCGCTTGGATCGTCGGATCACTGTTTGGTGCGGAGCGAAGTGCCTCTTACGAGTCCGACTCCACCTCGTTCTACGGGTAGACGTCGCATTTGGCACTACAGGTCGGCAGATTGGGATGAGATGCGGATTTTTTCGCATCTTACCCATGGAGGCAGGTTTGCTTCACACTGGATGATCCCGACGCCATTGCCGATTCCATTGCTGATGTGGTGCTTCAGGGAATGGAATTATTTATTCCTAACTCTGTGGTGCCCGTCGGCGGGAAATCCCAGCCCTGGTATGGAGCCTCCTGTAGAACAGCATCTCGTCTGAAACAGGAGTGCTTCCTAACCTGGGCTAAAGGTGTGGCGTCGCGAGATCCTAACACCAGTGCTCTTAAAAAGAAGTATAACTCTGCCTCTAGGTCTTTCAAAAGAGTTATAGCCACAGCGAAGTCAGAGCATATTAGTAGAATTGGCAAGAGACTGGCTAGTTTGCCCTCTGGGACTCGAGCTTTCTGGTCTCTTGCCAAAGCTGCACAAGGGAATTTCTGTAAGTCATCCTTTCCACCTTTGCGCAGGGAGGATGACTCGTTGGCCCAGAACGCTAAAGAAAAGGCCGATCTTCTTGGATCCATCTTTGCGTCAAACTCGACATTGGATGACGGGGAGAAACCACCACCGACCATCACGTGTTGTAGGAGCTCTATGCCTGACATTAAATTCACGCATAGCTCAGTGCGTAGAGCACTTTTCTCCCTCGAAATCCATAAGTCGAGTGGGCCTGATGGTATTCCTCCAATTGTGCTTAGGACGTGCGCACCAGAGTTGGCTCCGGTTCTTACGCGTCTTTTTCGGCTTAGCTACTCATCGGGCATTGTCCCAAAGTTTTGGAAGACTGCTCTGGTGCATCCGATCCCTAAAAAGGGAGATCGCTCAGATCCAGCTAACTATAGGCCCATAGCTATCACTTCCTTATTCTCGAAGGTTATGGAATCCATCATTAACCGTCAACTGCTCCGGTACCTAGAAGAGCACCGGCTGATCTGCGATCGCCAGTATGGCTTTCGACAGGGACGTTCGGCCGGTGATCTTTTAGCTTACTTAACACACCGATGGGCAGTGGCAATCGAGAGTAAGGGAGAGGCCTTAGCAGTTAGTCTGGATATTGCGAAGGCCTTTGATCGGGTGTGGCATAGAGCGCTGCTTTCAAAGTTACCTTCATTTGGGTTGCCTGCGAGACTGTGCATTTGGGTCGCCAGTTTTCTCAAGGAACGTAGCATTAAGGTCGTAGTCGACGGTGCATGCTCTGATTTAAAACCTTTGAATGCTGGTGTCCCGCAAGGCTGTGTACTATCTCCGACTCTGTTTCTTCTGCATATCAATGATATGTTACAGATAAGTAATATTCATTGCTATGCGGACGACAGTACAGGAGATACATTATATACCGGTCATGCAAAGATCTCGCGGGCACATACCGATGAGTGCCGGAATAGACTTGTGTCTGAAATCGAAACTTCACTCCATCAAGTTTCGATCTGGGGTGAACAAAATCTTGTCCAATTTAACCCCAAAAAGACACAAGTCTGCGCGTTTACCGCAAAAAAGACGCCGTTTGTCGTATCTCCTCACTTTCAGGGCACTTCCCTTGATAAAAAGTCAAGTCTAGGAATTCTGGGCGTTGATATATCTTGCGACGTCCAGTTTTGCGGTCATCTGGAGGAGAAGGCTAAGATAGCTTCCAAAAAGTTAGGAGTGCTCAATAGGGTGAGACGATATTTCATGCCAGAACACCGCCTGAAATTATATAAAGCCCAAGTCAGGCCGCATATGGAATACTGTTCTCACCTGTGGGCAGGAGCGCCACAGTACCAACTCCTTCCGTTAGACCGCATTCAAAGTCGGGCGGCTCGAATTATCGATAGTCAACGCCTTACTGTCCGACTTGACCCATTGAAACTGCGCAGAGATGTTGCGTCTCTGTGCATCTTCTACCGAATTTATCATGGGGAGTGTTCTGAGGAATTGTTCGGATTGATACCTGCTGCTGATTTTCACCACCGTACAACCCGCCACAAACTAAAGTTTCATCCCAATCATCTGGACGAGTGGCGGTCTTCCACCGTGCGTTTTTCAAGGCACTTTCTTCCACGCACAACCATTCTTTGGAATCAACTTCCAGCAGCAGTATTTCCGAACCGATACGACAACATAACCTTCAAGAAAAGAGTATATTCCTTTTTAAAAGGCCGGCAGCACACCTGCAATGCCGCTGGTGTTGTGGGTGATCATGGGCGGCGGTAGTCACTTACCATCAGGTGAGCCGCATGCTCGTTTGCCCCCTGTGTTGTAAAAAAAAAAAAAAAAAAAATACGTTCGTAATAAACAGATTGTAGTTATAATTTATAACTATTTATTTATTTAAACTTTAATGCACAGTAAAATTCTATGTACATTTGGCGGACTTAACACCGGACGGTGTTCTCTACCGATCATCCATTGGGCAAACCGAGAAATAAATAGGCAATGCATTATTATTATATACTAGCGGCCCTCCCCGACGTCGCACGGGTGGACATTTTTAACACTTCCCTTCACTGCTCTGCTCCTATTGATCGTAGCGTGATGAAAAGTATACTATAACAAGCCCAGGTATATGAAGAATAATTGTACCAAGTTTCGTTAAAATACGTCGAGTAGTTTTTGTTTCTATAACGAACATACAGACAGACAGACAGAAAGACAGACAAAAATTTTACTGATTGCATTTTTGGCATCAGTATCGATCACTAATCACCCCCTGATAGTTATTTTGGAAATATATTTCATGTACAGAATTGACCTCTCTACAGATTTATTATAAGTATAGATTTTCACTGTAAGTTCTTACGGGGTATGAAGACAGAACGGAGTGAAAAATATTTCTATCATTTCTAATTACTTCAACCATTTTATATATAAAATTAAATTAAATATAAAAAGAATATTATTGTAATAACATCCTTACTTCTAATATTATATATTATATCACCAGAGGGAGACTGTACAAAAGTCGTTTGCTTAGGCACCTCTGTCCCATTAGTGTTTCTACCGTGAAGCAGTTGTTTGCATAGCTGTATTTCGGTTTGAAGGGTGAAATATGGCAGTGACTTTACAGGGTACAGAAGAATAACACCTGAGTCCTCAGGAATGGCAACGCATAGAAGATATCATGGGTGAAACAGTATACTCTATTATATCCATGGTACTGCTCATATCTACAGGCGACGATTACCACATTCCATCAGGTGGGCCGTCAGCTTGTTTGTTATTTTAAGTTGCATAAAAAGAGATATAACTAAGTTTTTTGGTTTAAATAACTCTGATGTGCTATTTGTGATTGACACAAATTTATAAAAAAAAAGTAATGAGTTAAGTTTCTCGTCCGTTCTTCTCAGTTGAAATTGTATTCCGAATGAGCGATACAATTAAACAAAATTACAATTCAAATATGATTATAACAAAAATTTACTTGAATTATAATTCTACAACCTAGAATATATAATAAATTACCTAAATCTCTCACAGACATTTTTTTTTTATACAGCTTAGAATAGCAAACAAGCTGACGGCCCACCTGATGGAAAGTGGTAATCGTCGCCTATAGACATGAGCAGTACCTAGCATGGATATAACAGACTATACTGTTTCGCCCATGATACCCCCCCATGCGTTGCCATTCCTGAGAACTCAGGTGTTATTCCTCTGTACCCTGTAAATTCACGCCATATCCTATCCTTCAAACCGAAATACAGTCATGCAAACACAACTGCTTCACGGTAGAAACACGAATAGGACAGAGGTACCCAAGCAATCGACTTTTGTACAAAGTCTCCCTCTGGTTATATAAAAAATTACAAAACTAAACCGTATAAATACCTAGTGAACAAAATATATTATTCAATTGACGATTTCCTCGGAGATAAATATAATAAATTTCTTTTATCTATGCTTTTTATACTTTAAATGCCATTATTGTATTTCTTTTGTTTTTCATATATATACGTTTGTAAATTTGTATACCCCGACGTGTGAGGTTAATCATAGAGGACTTATCTTCTTTTACCATCCATTGTTATCTACCTATGTATCACAATATAAATAAATGAAACGAAATTAAATAAAACCTAGCGCTTTAACGGCTTAACCGATAGTCGTGAAATTTGGCATGCGAAGCATTTAATTTTTGTACCAGGCAATCATAAAATTTTGAACATACGGACAAAATTGATATACATACATACATACGTATTCATCATGCCTGTCTCCCATTAGGGTAGGCAGAAACAATGGAAAATTGATATTAAAACTAATATTCTATAATCAATCCAAGCGACGGCGGTAGGCTCGCCTCCTGCCATGTAGGAATATAATATCGTCATAGTCGTAGAATACTGACGGATCTGACAAATATTACATATATAGATCCGTCAGTATTCTACGACTATGACGATATGCACGGCGAAATTTGGGCATATCGAGAGTTACGTTCACCACAACCTTAGCAGTCGACAAATACTTCGAGTCGGAAACATTAAAGAACTTTTAAAGACTTCATACTGTACAATCAATCGTAAATTTACGCTCTTTAACACATATTGTGTAGAAGAGGAAAATTTAAGGTTTGCCTCCGTTTTTAGTATTCTAATCTAAATAAAATACGTATACCGAACAGCGTTGCTTTCCCCCTACAAAGGTTTCACTACGTGTGAATTGAACGATGCCATCAAAGCCTACTTGTTGATTATGTGCGCAACACGTAGCACTTTCCTTTGTTATAGAAAGCCTTTTTTTTGTTATATAAAAAATCAATTTCCTTGGCCCTATAAAAATAGTTGATGTCAATAAAAAAAAAAAAAGAAATTCGAATAGTCCACGATAATGTTTAAAAAACGAAATCTATTCGAAATTTAATTATCGAAATTGACACATAATAATTTGTTCGTAATTTAAAAAATAAGTACTCACCTTTTAGTAGTGGTGACGGGAATACACGCGAACGAATTTTGTCACTGTTTTATTCAAAAAAACATTAAATTAAATAATATTCTAATTATTCGACGATCGTGGCCGCGGATGTGCTCCCCTACGCGGCTAGAGCCAGACTGCTACAAGAACGGCTACTTTCGCAGTTTTACCTGTTACTTTGTTACTCTGTAGGGCGGGGGTTGTAGGGATGTCTGAAACAGAACAGTATCACGAAATACGACTATTGTAATAACAGGTTATTTGTTTTTATAGATATTAAGTTGAAATATACGCCGTATAGATATGACATATGGATCTGATAAATGCTTACCCAGCTTCGAACGTAAGTTATAGCGTATTTTGAAATCTCTTTTTCTTTTATTGTATATTATTCAACTATCTTCCTAATGCTCCATTAGGAATGTCTATCGTACATTTTTACGGTTGTTTATGGAATATGCAGAATAAACTAAGTGTCGTAAACCTCTTTCCTTACCTATATCACTTGACTCGTTACCATTATGGACAATTTTTAATTATTAAAGTTTATATTAATGTTGTTTCCATACTAATTTTGTCAAATAAATCGAAAAAAAATAGAGAAAAATCTACATGTATTTTTTTTTTCGAAAAAGATACATTATTGTTAATTTAACATTTAACACATTTTAATAATCGATAAATTGTAACTTTTTTTTAAGTTATATACGCAATAATTATTTTTTTAATTAATTAGATACCTAACTAATATATTGTGAATCGGTAATAGTTATAAAATAGTACAATAAATACGAATAAAACATAGTCACGCCATATGGTAACTCACTAGCCATATTTTCATTCCGTACACGTCACGATTTCCACCCTGTAATACATTTTCAGCGCTTCCCCTCTCTTTCATTCACATTGAGTCCTTAAGAGTTATGAATAGGTTAGAAAGAGATAGGTATACGTTGTTAGTTAATGAGCCTACGCTTGTCATGGGAACATGTTGGTGTTTTGAGGGGTTGTAAAGCATGGCATTGTACTTACGGCTTAATTAATTAATTATGTAAGTATTTGTATATTTGCAGAGTCTTATTGTTGAATGTAATATGAGATTTATTGCTTTCATTCCCTTTTTATAGGTACTGAGATAATTCGTACTATGTGGAAATAAAAAAACTTAAAAAAAACTACCCATAACTCCTGGCTTTGCATGCGTGAATTAAGATGCAAAGTTAAATGTGGTAATCTAGTATAATATAATACAAATAATAGCTACATTTCCGAACCGATACGGCATCGTCACCTTCTAGAAAAGAGCATTTTCCATTTTAAAAGGCCGACAGTACATCTGCAATGCTTTTGGTGTTACGGATGGTCATGGACGCCGTATAGTACAGTAACTTACCATCAGGTGAGCCGCATGCTCGTTTGCCCCCTGTGTTTAAAAAGAAAAATATGATAAATGATATAAAAAATAAATAAATTGGTCAAAACAGAATATTAGTGTTTTGCTCTTTTGAGGGCAAAACAATAAGCTGAGTTGTGACCATTTTGTGTTACTGTGGCACACGCATGAAGGGACCCTACGGTACCTCTGTCCCATTCGTTTTTCAACCGTGAAGCAGTGTTGTGGGGTGGTGTGTGTTTGCTTAGCTGTGTTTCAGTTTAAAGGGTGAGATATGGCAGTGAATTTACAGGGTACAGAGAAATAACACCTGCATCCTTAGGAATGGTAACGCATGGGGGGGGATATCATGGGCGTAACAGTATACTCTGTTATGTCCATGGTACTGCTCATGTCTATAGGTGACGGTTACCATTTGCCATCAGATGGGCTGTCAACTTATTTACTATTCTAAGTTGTATATTTAAAAATTACTTTTATTCACACAATCTTTAATTATATAATGTTTTAATTAATTATATTATTTGAAACGAAGAACCCATTGAAATATATATATATATATATATATATATATATATATATATATATATATATATATATATATATATATATATATATTAACACCCATTAAAATATGTCTACAGGCATTAATGATGCCATCATGTATTCTCTACTCAGTCAACCGTTACGCTAACCAGAGAGAGTGAATATACTTATAGAATAACATATTAATATAAATTAAACATACATAAATAAATATAAGTAATACATATGAATATAATAAATATATAAGTCATGGTTAATCCTACAATTCCCAAAGAGGGTTGACGTCAGGCCGGTGGCCGGTCGTATAACTAAAAACCAAATCTTTTTGTAATATAGATAAAATCATATTACGCCGACCCCAAATGATTGGGATAAGGGTAGGAAGATGATGATGATGATGGTTAATCATACAATAGTAAGGATTGAAGCTCTTCTTTTTTGTAATAATTTGAAATAATATTCACGAAGGCACTTTTTGATATCAATTATATTTTTTAATATTGTCAATTACTCTACCAACCCCATTGTTTCAATTCACCCCGCAACATAAAGTGTTACCAGCAAGAAAGGACACAATTACGTATCTCAAATGTCTAAAACTTTTCGAAAATGATACAAAAGATAATACGAACAATGTGCAACAACGTCGCGAAATGTGTTATCGAAAGGGCAACAAAAAACTTGTGCGTGAGGTTTCTACACAGAATTATACTTTGGAACTTATGTTTGTACTTTAACGCTAATTTAGGCTTTGCACTATAAATATTTCAATATAAAGAGTGCCATCATAATAAAAAAATAAAAATAAAAAAAATCATCATGACAACCTTTAACTGTTTACTGCTAAACATAAGTCTCCCCGTATTTTTTTGGATGTTGCCAGCAATTGCCACGCTTAGCGGGCGGATTGGCAACCGTAGTTAGGCTTTGTTGATGTTTTACGAGGGACGCTGCTGCCCATCTCTCTACCATTAAGTTTTTTTTTTCTTTTTTTTTATACCACTTAGGTGGCAAACAAGCATACGGCCCACCTGATGGTAAGCGGTTACCGTAGCCTATGAACGCCTACAATACCAGAGGTATTACGCGCGCGTTGCCGACCCTGAAGAGACCTCTTTACCCCCCTTTTGAAGAATCATTAAGTTCTTTTAATCGCCTCTTACGACACCCACAGGAAAGGAAGGGGTGGTCCATTCTATGCCGGGGCACACACGGCGTATTTTTTTTTTGTTTCATCATATCATCGTCATCATATCAGCTTTTAATTGTCCACTGCTAAACATAAGTCTCCCCCTTGGGTGTATGTGTGTGTGGGGGGAAGTTGCGAGTAGTTTCTACGCTTAGCAGGCGAATTAACAACCGTAGTTTTTTTTGGCTTTGGAGATATTTTAAAAGGGACGCTGCTGTCCATCTTTCGCTCTTTCTTAGTCGCCTCTTACGACACTCACAGGAGAAGAGAGGATGACCTATACTGTGCCGGGAGCAGACGGCTTTTTTATTTTTATTGCCTCATAAATCCGTCAATTACAAACCGATTTGGAAAATTATTTTTTTTATCTGAAAGTTTATTTTTATTTTTTTTATACCACTGAGGTGACAATCAAGCATACAATCCACTTGATGGTAAGTGGTTACTGTAGCCTATGAACGCCTGCAATACCAGGGGTATTTTTTTTTATTGGATGAAAATGGAATAGTAACCCCGCCTGCGCTAACGGAATACGCTGGCGTGTTCACCACAGCGCGCACCAGTGAATGATGATCGATGAGGATGAAAACAGGCCAGTTAGCCTATCATGATGAATTCATCTTGAAGTAATCATGATAGTTTCCAGGGGGAACCGCGAGGAGGTCGACCTAGTTGGGTATATTGCTAGCAATGGGATTCTTAGTATCCATTACTAACAATCCCTTTCCCCCCAATACCAGGGGTATTACGCGCGCGTTGCTGACCCTGAAGAAACCTCTTTACCCCCCTTTTGAATAACCCCATGCTGTACTCTCTTGGGAAAACCTCGGCAGGGAGCTCACTCCATAACCTGAGCGTTCGTGAGAGAAAACATTTCTGAAATCGCGTTGTACGAGACCATTTAGGCTGCAGGGTATGAGGGTGAACTCCCTGTCGATGGCGAGCCGTACGATATGTTTACAGATTGGTCCCATAGGAAATTTATGAAAAACGGTTTAGTAGTTTAGTTTTGATATTGAAATAACTGGTAACAACATGAATATGGTAAAAAAATTTGGTAAATATTGGTAAAATAACAATTAAAGTTGGTTTTGTTTTTCTGGAACACTTAAATTATATAGTTAATAGAGTACTGATTATTATTGCAATTTTTACCTGAATAATTGTTATGTTTTTTGTATACTGTAATTGTATTTTATAAAGTAATTATTATTATTTATTAATTAATCTATACTTATAATAAATCTGTAGAGAGGTCAATTCTGTAAATGAAATATATTTCCAAAATAACTATCAGGGGTGATTAGTGATCGGTACTGATGCCAAAAATGCAATCAGTAAAATTGTTGTCGGTCTGTCTGTATGTTCGTTATAGAAACAAAAACTACTCGATGAATTTTAACGAAACTTGGTATAATTATTCTTCATACTTCTGGGCAGGTTGTAGTATACTTTTCATCACGCTACGGTCAATAGGAGCAGAGCAGTGAAGGGAAATGTTGGGGAAACGGGAGAAGTTACTCAATTTTTAAGCTTCCGTCGCGTGTGCATCCTTAATGGCTACTTTTTAAAATGTAAAAATGTCCACCCGTGCGACGCCAGGACGGGCCGCTAGTATTTTATATAATTAATAATTTGCGTACCTCATGATGGTGAAATATAGCGCACGGGGGAGAAAGGGATTGTTAGCAATGGAGTTCGACATTGCTAGCAATATGCCCTATCAGGTCGACCTCCACGTGGTTCCCCCTGGAAACCATCGTGAACAATTCTTGTTGAATTCATCACGATGGGCTAACTGACCTGCTTCATCCTCATCTATCATCCCTCACTGGTGCCCCGCCGGTGTATACCAATAGCGCGGGTGGGGTTACCATTCCATTATCACCCATTAAAAAATATATATATATAGCGCAAGACATTTCTACAATATCAAACTTATAACTATAGCTATGTTTATGTAAATAAATGATTGATTGATTGGTAAAAATGCACATCAGCCAAGAGTATTGGCTGATTACTCGCTTTGACT